AAACGCAGTATGACCCAACACCGCGGATTTAACTGCTGGAAGTGGACGATCGGGGGGGGGGGGTCAGAGCGTGAGAAAGATTAATCTGAGAATGCCGAATAACTCAAGGTCATGTCGTCATTGCAGATCTGACCAGCGGCGTTGTGAAATGACGACTGTTACGGTCAGTTTCAGGGTAATTACCTTCACTTGTACAGTCACCTGTGCTTGGAACGCCAACAAAAATCCATGGTGATTAAATGAATACTGTCTTTGAATTGAGCGGTTTTCGAATGCTGGATTTCGGCCAATCATAGAGCTATCTACTCACGACGCCACTGGAAGCCACTTCGTGCTGCGCTCATTTGCCGTTTGGTCAGGACAGTTATTGGGTGTTTTTGATGCACATCGATTTCGACAAATTTAGCCGTAATATTGCTATGTGTGGCCTTAGTGCTGCGTTTGAATAAGCCTCATTGGCAGTTTGAATTAACCAATCGAAATCCAGGCTGATTACTTTGTTATTGAGAAATTTGACGTTTGGATAAACAAAATACCTTCCCTAACCCCACGAAAGCGACCTTGTTTCTTTCTTGGGGTTTGACAGAAACGAAATCGCACTATTCTGCTAGTTCGACCGGTGTGCGTTCAGACGAGACTGCGTTTGTCTTGTCTGAATTTTCATATTCCCCGGACTAACGAAGTTGGGTTTTCCTGCCAAATGCCAAAACATGATGAAAAAATACTCGTTGCTAGCAAAGTTCTTTTTTTTCTACTAACCAACGCGAGCATGTTCGCGGCGCGCAGCTGCAAAAACGCTCAAGGTTTGTAGGTTTTTTTTGAATGAACCCGGCAAATCGAGACTGTTTCTCTTTGCGTTAAAAAAATTGTTTCTTTTTGGCGAAGAGGGCAGACAACCTAACGTGTCCGACACTCACAGCCTCCGTTTATCCGTGCGTTTGAAGCGTCAGGGACCATCAGAATTTGTTTAAATTTTGTGTGTTCAGTCTGCTTGTTTAAACAAGAGCTGCGATTCAAACCGAAATACTTCAAGCCATGTGCGTGAAGCAAAGCCTGTCTCCGTGGAATGTGCTTTATCCTCTACTGGTCGGGAGGCAGACGGAATTACCGGCTCCTAGAAACTGTTACAGTTATAAACGACATCCAGTAAGCCTTTTGTGGACTTGGGACCAGTTTTCTTCTTCAAATGGGTCGAAACTATGTGTGCTGACAGTTTTGTCTGCAAAAAAATGTTCCGGTTTCAGACTTCAGGGTGAATTTTATGCGCGTCACACATGTGAGAACACATTCCCAGACTGTTTCATGGTCAACTGATCGACAAGGCCCTCGTTATTGAACCGACCACTGTCCTGAAGCGCAGTTCCACGATATTTTCAATTCCGAAAATGTAAGAATCGTGAAGCTTCGTCAAACTGCCCTAGTTTTAGCGGAGTGAATAGGCTTCTAAATGTCACATTTGATTCACTCTTAAACGGATCATGTAAGTTCAATTCTGTGGGTGTCTAGCATAGCCCTCATCTCACTTTGCACGTTGCCTGAAGTGCACCACAATTAGTACGTTCATCTAGCTTAAAGCGTTTACCGTCATATGAACTGTTGAATGTGTTTAACAGGGCGTTGACACGGGTTTGCACTCAAGCAAATTAAGACAACTCGACACTTGCACTCTATCCTTTTTTCTACATTCAAAATGGAGAAAAGTTGTATAAAATATTTCTCTAAGAAGTAGAAGGAGGCAAAAAAGGCATTTTCGCTTTCAAAGGCGCCATAGACCCAGATAACATCTGCTTGTTTAATTTGATTGGCTGCCCATCCGCTCGCTGATTGGCTGCTCATCCGCAAATGTGATTGGCGGTTCATTGGACCGGACTTTGAAGCATTCACCACCATCAATTTGACATCTCACAGAAACCTAAATTACGATTTCAAGGCAATTAAGGTGCGTGTGCCATTTTTTTTTGTTTTTGATACCAATGTTGATGCGTAGATGGCCGAAATGAGTTGTTTGGAAAGGTCGTGTGGGCGAAATCCACCCCAGGCCGCAACCAAACACACCCTTTTACAAAAACATTAAGCCGTTTGGGGGTCGTTGTTATGTGGTGCACGTTGGACTGATAATCGCACCGTTCATACACAGAAATGGCCATTCAGTTGCCCATTTTTTTCATATTTCCCGCCCTCCTATGCACTTCGGTCCGAATAATGAATGTCCCTCAAATCACACGTTCGTTAGACTCTGACAACTGTGCCGCATTTTTAAAACCATTGCGAGTGTGAGATCTGCAAAAAACCAGCAGATTTCTTGTCTCCTAATCAAATGACGTTTATTTCGAGTGTTGGAGAAGGTAGGATCTGCACATCCACTTCCACAAGTGAATTAGTCCGGTTAAAATAACACGAACGCATATCTTACCCCCGTCACTTGTGACTTGGTGCGTTGCTGCATATCCACACTCAACCTACTCAAACTCACCAGCGTGTTTGGTTTTACAGGTGAAAACTACCACGCGTGTATTCGCCAATCACTTTAAGCCTTAGCATGTCATACTAACACCCCAGGTAAACACCTGCTATCTACTGTAGTGCTTGTTTACCCCTAGCACAGTAATTTTGACACACAGCTTAATTAGGCTTTGTTCCTGTTGAATGAAATGGCTGTCGACATTTGAGTCCTTACAAATGCTAAAATTTTCACCGAAACGAGTAGGAAGTTATTTAAATTGTGGGAAAGCCAACAGCCTCTAAACTGGAGATCTAAAAGTCATCACCAAACCCCAACTACAAATGATTTAGCACATTGGAATCCGTGTTTTTGTGTGTCTGAGGTACCAAAAAAGACTTCACTGTTTTAAAGGATGACTCGACAATGGACGAGGGAGCTCCATCGAACTAACAGGAAATTTCTTTTAGTTTTTTTGTTGTAAAACAAAATTCTACCTTTTATACAAAGATGGAGCATTCATCATTAAATTGCTTTGGCTTCTTTCGATTGCCATTTCCTGTCAACCGCACGAATCACCTGGCAGTTATCGATTTTTAAGCACCCAATCGGAAGCCATCAGGAGGCAGTCATCGTCATTATTATCATCGTTAGTGGTATTAGTAAAGTGTTAATATTCACTGAGCGTTGGACAATTCGAAACAAGCGGTAACTTGGTAGTGCAGGGTTGGAGCAATCTACTTTGGAGAAAAACTTATCGATTCCAAATTAATTTGAGTACGAGTAGGATGGTGGAAGTTAACGATTTTGGTGTAATTCGTCGTGCGATGTGATTTTCACTTTATCATCACGCATGCACTGCTGTCGATTGGCGTTACCAGCAATGCGCCACTTTTTACGCAAAATCAGTGATGATTTTACGGCGTTTGACGTGCCTGTGGGATGAGCTCTGAGTGGTACATCACTTGAAGAGAATTCTGCTAGCCAATGCTAACGCTTCCTAGTAAATCATCTTTAAATCCTTTCTATTAAACCTCCTACCCTTGTTTAAAATGTCAAACTGTCCACGCAACTTGTTACTAATGCCAAAACATTAGTTGCTTGCAAAGGTCAAAAGGAAAAACGCGGATGCCAGATTCTTGCGACAAGACATTTTGGAACCATCTGGACCAATAGGAAAGGCTGCAGACGCATGATTGGGCTTGTTGAGTCATCGTTGCGACGCTAGACTCCTAGCAACACTGATTGGTTATTTTCCTTTTTCAGCCAATGCCCATGAATGAAGAGACTGCCTTCAGATTTGCACGGTTGTTAAATTTGCCCGATTCCGAGGAAACCTACACGTGGCTCCCCCTTAACAACGAGAAATCAATGCCGAAATTGCCTCCAATGGAGCCCTCATCCCCTGCTAACCCCCTCGTAACCAACGGAAGAGCCACATCTCATGCTCCAATCCCCAGTAATGCAGATCTCTCAAGTTGGCGGGACAGAAAAAAGTCGGAGGAATTTTCCCTCCCCCCTGATCCATCTCCCCCGACCCCCGATATGTCAACTCTTCCCCGCCAAGAAGATGTCACTTTCCCACTGTTCAACACCTCTACCGATTTCCGCATTCCCGGCCGGCGGAAGAAGCGGCCAATTCTGGTTCTTGATGGCGAGCCTGAGAAGATGTCGACTCACGACAAGACCTCGATCAGTTTTCCCACGATCGCTCCGGGAGGAGGAAGCTTAAGAGATCCAGGACAGCATTTAGTTAAAAACACAATTAGAACGAATGACGGTGTGACCTTGGAGACTCCTGAGTGGAGACCAGCCAAATCGATGAATCCTTCCGCATTTTTTCCCAACAATTTGGAGTCCAGGAAACACCCACTGCCCCTTAGCAACCTCTTTCACAACATCAAAAGTTTACCAAACTCGGTGACGGTAAATGGCTTAGAGAGCGTCACAAGACATCAAGTGGGTTATGGTTGGTTTCCCCTAGTTTCTCGTCCAATCGCCGGCGAAAGGAAGTTAGGGGCTGAGAAGCAAACGGCACAGCCACAACGCTTCGGTAGTCTTTTCGCCCAAAACCCAGCCCCCACTGAACTTTTGCCGTTGAATACCAAAGAAGACTTAAAGAATGGTGTAGACGTCCAAGGACCTGCGCTGCCTCTTTGTACCAGCCAGGAACATGTCCAAAAATCAGCGCTCGAAAATCCTCATGATTCCACGCCGCGTCCTGAAGGCATGATTGCGGAAAACGGTGTAGGTGTGGTGGAACCGTCGCCACGGATCGATGAAAATGGGACTAATTTTGAGGAGCGAGTGAACGACCACACAGGTCGCTTTGAGCAGACTTCGTCGCCAGAATCTTCGCAGATTAGTGACGTCGAAGAGGCGCCAAACTATGCTGGTACAATTTTCAGAAACGGCGTCAATTCTCGTGGCCACGAAACAACACCGAGTCAGCCAATGGTTTGCCTTGGTAATGACACAATAAGTGATCATAGTTCAGTGTCTGGTTGCAGCATCAGTCCCATGATTCCTCATCAAATTCCGGCTGGAACAGCGCCTGTGTACGACGAGTGTGTCTCTTCTAGTTCCGAGCATTCCTCAATCAGTTTCACCACACCACCGCCCACCCTGTCAAAGAACGACTCGACACAGCAGCTAATCTGTGTTACGGAATCTGTGGAAGGATTCGGGGACAGCATCATTCCATCGGTGGTCCAGGAAGTTCTGAAGCAACGTCGACCTCTGTCCGCCTTCCAGGATGACGCTGAAGATGAAGAATTAGAAGGCAATTCGTCTACATGCTCCAGTAGGTTAGCCCACAATCCAGAAATGGCTTCAACGTTCAATAAACCCTTCAGAAGGACACCAAGAAAACTCGTGGTGAGAAGTCGTAGCTTTCAGCAACCACGCGGAGGCATATCAACGCCATGCAAACGACATACCAGATCCTTGCCAGCCTCACCAATCCCGTGTTCTACACAAATTACAAGAGAAGATGCCTTAATGAACTTGCGTGAGTTCATCCTAATTCCTTAAGATTAAATCTTGCAACTATCTTTGACCGTGACACGGTTATAGGAGGGTGTGAGTTGAGATCGCGTTTCCAGCTGTGAAAGTATAAGCTGGGCTCAGGCAAACGCCCGCCTGGCACTGACGTCTGTAAAACTCCATGTCTCCCTCTCTCTTCGATTACTTTTTTTTTGGTTCCCCACGGAGTGCCCCCGCGGTGAATCAAATGCGTAAGATGCAGTTAAGAGCGAACATGTGACGCCACTTACCATCACGATTGTTAAATTGCCTGGCTAGCAGGAGGTTTCATTTCAAATTGCCACCAACATGCAGTAGAGTCACGAAAGAGCCGTCATTTCAGTGCTTCGGAGGGTGTAAACTTCGTTGCCTGTCAACTACACAAATATTCTTTTAAGATTGACTAAGAGTAGTCGTCATCATCATCATCATTCCTGAATTGGTGCAATAAACACGGTTTGATTTTGAATCTAGTTGAGTGTGCGTAGGATACGCGACTTCGTGATTGAACACGAATCACCTGGCTGTTATCGATTGCAGAACACCCAATTAGAAGCGACTTTGGGCAGTTATCATCATTATCATCATTGATATAAAAGTGGTGCTGTATCCGGAGCTTCGTGTAAGTCAAAATGCGCGGCAGTCTGGCTGTGCAACTCTAGTTCCAAATTTAGCTGAGCGCAAGTAGTGGAGCACGACTGCGTAGCAAATTACTAAATTTCGTCACCTTCCAATCTACCTTCACTAGCTGATGACAGTAAACATGTGAGGTGAACGCACAACATTGCTAAAATACTGCTGATTTTGATGCAATCGACTTACGAAGCGATTTCCACTGTTTCATCACGCTTGCACTGCTGTCGATTGGCGTTACTCAGCCTCTCCGCCTCTACAGAATCAGCGGTGATTTCGCTGTTTTTAAAATGCATGTCACAAGTACTGCTAGATTGTGATTTGTGAGTTTTTTAATGTGTGAAATTTCTACTTAAAACCAACTCAGTAGTACCGTGTTTTTACTGAAATTCTCCAAGTCGCTTAATCCATTCGTGAGAATATATTCTGTAAATGTGGTAGCCTGAGATACGCGCGTGAACCAAAGAACACCAGCAAATGCAGTCGCATAGCAGTGGTTCCGATTTTGAATTGTGTTTTAACAAATTCAGTCAAGTTAAACAAAGAGTCATGCAGAAATGACATAGGGAATGTTTCATGTTGTGTGTCAACGGACTTGGATATTCGAACTCACCTCGCCTCTCTGTGATTCTTTGCTATTTCTCTAGATCCAGCTAATGGCGATCCACATGTGGATTCGCCTTTCCGTGATGACTACTTATTTAGCCAAAAGTAGTATGTTTGCAACTTGATCAAACGTTGAATGTCTAACCTGAGTATTGATTTAGTTTAAAAGTGTCCAATGGCAAGAGTTTTCACCATTCGATTGATTCTCTTTCGGCTCTTTCAACTTCAAGCGTGGCGTTAAACGTAGTCCATTTCACCATACAAGCTTTCCTGATTGGTTGAAAGATGGCTAGAACGCCATTGTTTTAAGCGAATGAGTTTTCGCCTTGTCGGTCAACGTCGCGAGAGCCTGCATCTCTGTAAATCGTTAAAATCAGGCAACTAGTGAAACAAATTTTAATTTCAAAAATCACATGACTACTTTGTATTATGAGTAGAAAGCGAACGGTTAAATGACTTTTATCTCATGTTCTTGCGCGCGCACAAATATGTGACCTTGAGAAATCAAACTAACCTATCTCGTCGATTGTCCCCTGCGACACCGTGATTCCACCAATTTGGCAACGCAGTGAACGCACCTGTAAACAACAACTAAGCACAAGGCTTTGAGGCGTTTTGTGAGTTCTGCTCACGACGTGGACAAATTCAAATAGTGTAACAGCGATAATCAGTGCATTAAAACAAGAGGTCCAAGGTCACGTCCTCCAACCAATTACGACGGGGCTATCAAGCGGTTTTCCTTACCAGAAATGAGCTACTAGAGAATCAAGGTCACTATAATCAGCATTCGGTGAGGTTCGACACACTTGTCAAATCTTGTAGTGGACTTATCGACATCTTCTTCGTATAATTTCACACCCAGAATGATTTTGTTGTGTTCAACACCCCACACACGCTCCAAAAATTAGCACTGCGCTGCCATTCTGGATCTAGAATCAACAGTCCGATGCAGCAGATGCGGCGCTCAGTCAAATAAGGTGGATTGAGCCAATAAGATGGAGGCGGTCGATTTGAATCTGAAAAACGGTGTGCAATTACGCGAGAAAATGGCGGTAAACATAACCAAGGCTTGGGTGTTGAGGCAATCTACGCAGGTTTAAAACGTCACCATGTATCTGTGGCGTTATCAGCCAGTGCTTGTTTAATAAACTTTGGACTACCTGAAATCAACGTCAGAGTTGTCGAAAAAAAACAAGCTTTTTAAGACTACGCACCAACACGCACATGCTACGTATTTTTAAGTATTTACACAGATGACGAAATGATTGTCAAACCGAGTTCGTGCAGCACCGTGGTTACGCAAACCAAACACAACGCAGCCTCCTTGGCTATTTACAACACCGCAACTGCGCACTTTTCTCGAAACCTCCTTGGGCAAATTTTAGAAGCAATCATGAGGCAGTTTTGAGGTTAGTACTCAAGAAATCGATGTGGCAAAATCGGAGCTTGTCTCTGTTCCCACATTCACATTTTTCAAGGTGATTAGTACGTTTAGCGGTATGATGCAGTTTGGTGATCTACCACGACGCTGAATTGTTCCACGCTCCAACTGCTGATAGATTTCTGCTCATACCACTAGCATCATCGGTAGACGTTCGCGTGTTCCATCTGTGGGGGCCTAAATTAGCGCTACCGCAAAACTTTTTAAATAACAATCGGTCACAGCCCGAGAAAAGAGAAGGCAGAGTTGAAAGGGAACATGACTGTTTATTCGCGTCACGCCAGTCAAGTCGAGTCGCGAAAAAATCGATACGCGTGCGCAACAGGCGACTGCTAACAAAAAATCAATAACAAAGAGGGTGAGTCATTGATAGAGGCGGGCAGGCATACACGCAGCACTCACGCGCGCGGTGGCCGTCTGTCCACCAGAGTGCATTCACGGTAAAAAAAAATCGATTAATTTGTGTTCGTTCGCACTTGCAAACTGCGTGCGCTCACGACTGCTAACTGTGCTGGCTTGCTGGTCGCTACGCAACCATCGATTTTGCGGTCCAACATTGAAACAATAAACTATGCTCGCGTCCATCTGATTGCCTAGTTAATCGTCTGTCAACTTCGATTAGAGAGTAACCGTGACAATCAAGATGCTAACTAAGGCACTCCTCGAAGCCAAGTCCAATCTTTGTCAAATAAGCAAATAGCGCTTCCTTTTCTGTCGGTTTAGCGCTCAATGACTTCTCGTGAGGTTAGTGAGACCAATCCACCCCATGTGGATTTCGTTTCGTCCGCCGTTTTGTCAAAAAGATGACATCGTCGTAAACCCGATGATTTAACAACTATCACAAACACGACACCATACTTGACGTCTTTTGATGTTCAACGTACCAACAGGTTCTATTCTCAAACCTCGTTTTCCGACTTATTCAACTAGGA